GAATCGGGAGTCCTCCAGGCCTGGCGCCAGGCAGCCATTCTCTCACCTCTTTCCCTCTCTGCTGCTTCTCGCCTCTGCCTACTGTGACTTCTTGCCTACAAGTGCATGTGGTCTGCAGCGGCTGCAACAGCTTCTGGCCCAAGAGCAAAGGGCGCTTTCAGAAAAGAAGGCTCCCTGGTTCATGAGTCGTCCCAGCCTGCTCCAGGGGCAGCTTTTCCCAGCAAAGTGAAGACCAACTTGAGCCTTGTTGTGAACCTGAACTCTTATTTATCTTTGCCAACAGTTTTTTGGACCTGCTAAGTAAACACGCTAAAATGCCAGTGAAAATTTTTGCTGCTTTGTTGAACCTTTCTGGCAGATTAAATTGGGGGGAAAATGGGAGTACATAGACCACAAAACATATAATTCATAGTTGTCACATGCACTGTGAGGAATGATCTTTTTGAGGCTGCTAAGTGGGTGCCTTTCCTAATAAAGGAAATAATGACATAGGAAGGGAAAAAGAAATCTCACGGGGAACCATCATTCCCTGTGTGCCCTTGGTGGGAAGCACGCATTCCTCATCTTCATTCCTATGCCCATTTATAATAAATTTTCTCTCTGGCCTCTCTGCCTGCGTCGGAAAGGCTGCCCATGGGGCGTGCTAGGAAAACATCACTGAGATGCATTTAGCGCCGAGGTGGCATTTAATGACTTGGGATTGGAAGTCATCTCTTTACACTGGACAAAAGAAATGCTGTTATATCAAGGGGAGAAAAAGACCTGCCGAAAATCACACAGATGAAATAAGAGGAGAATCAGATGTTTTCCACAGAAGCTGCTGAGTTAAGTTGGAGGTTAGTTCTGCTCTGTTCCAATAGTTTCCTCCTTGGCTTCTGGACTCCATGCTGGCAGGAAAACCACAGAAGGCTGAGTTTGTGGCCTATGAGTAAAGGAAGCAAGTACTGGGGCAGGAAGAGGGAAACCCAGTGTAAATGAACAGAAGTACACAAACCAAGGAGAAAAACCCAGTCAGTGGTCTCTTCATCGTCTTGTTTTATTACTATGTAATAGTTCATAGATTGTAGGTATCACATATGGGTCAAGTAATAATTATTTCATGGATACTAGCCACCTCCACCTCCCAGCTTTATAATGGAGCACTTTTCTTTGTGTGTCCCTCCCCAGTCATCATGCACTCTCTTTTTTGTGGATGTTTCTAGTTTCACTACATAAGTCTATATATCTAAACTCTATTTTGATTAGTTCTTGAAACTTTGTGTAAATAGAATTATATGCATTTTCGATGCTTAGTTTTTGCTTTACATTGAGTCTGTGATATTTATCCATTTATCTGCAAGCCATTTGTTTTCATTGCTGTATAGTATTCTCTTTATGAGCTTACCAGTATGAATTTACCATTCTTCATCAGGTGTTCAATGCTGGGTTGTTCTTTGCTACAGAATTTTCAGGATAGAACATTGGTGATGAGGGTTGGAGGGAACATCCTATTCTGTCTCCATTACCTTTGGATGGTCAAATAATTAATCCTGAGCCTCCATTTCTTCATCTCTAAAGTGTTCATGGTCATATCCACCCTGCACATCTAATAGAAAAATGGATATAAAAGCATTGGAAACAACAAAAGCCTAAACAGTCCTCATCACTGGGTGGAGAGAGAGGGGTCTAATGGATCTATGAAGACAAGTAGGAAGCGTAACCCCTGGGCCCATAATGAGATGTTTCTGTAATTCTTTAAGTCTCAGTTCCTTGAAGGCTTGAGCTTCCGATGTAGCTTTGATGACAGAACATGCAAATAGATCAGAGAAGAAATAAGCTTTGAAGTATGCAATTCTTACCCTAGATATGGTAGACGTGGACATGAGGAGTCAGAGAACACTTCCTGAGAGATGTCTACCTTTCTCCTTGCTGCTCAGCATTCTCCCCACCCTCCCAACCCCCACCC